ATATATATATATTTATATATTTTGACAGAGTATTCACCGAGTAGGTCCTGCCATGTGTGTTGCATGCGTTGGGCATCCTCGAATACACACCGGCGTTGGCCGCAGCGATCGAGGACGGTCAAGTGCTTGTGCTTGGGAGTAAGGAGGAACCACATATATATATATAATATTTTCTCATACATTATTTTAAAGTAAATATTATTTTGGGACGACCATAGGCGACGAAGAAGTGGAATTACGCGCAGGGGCAGTCGTGGCGTGCGATAAGATTTTGGCTGTGTTGCAAGAAGGAGACATCCCCGATGCAACCATCCTGGCGCTGGACTCGTACATGTGGCGCGTTGGTAAGTTGTTATGATGAATCAAATAAACATTAAAAAGGACTTGCATTCTGGTCGAATGAGCGTTTAATATATATATATATATATTAACCTGTCTTATTGCATAGGAAAAGAGCCGCTGTATCGCCCGTTGGAACGCCACGCTACGCAAGACACTGTGTTGTATTAGTGTCGCGAGACCATAATGGTCAAATGAATTTTATCCAATGGCCTCGTAGTTTGTGTAATTATAACCAACGACCTTCCATCCTGACATTCATTTTGTCCAATCATGACGTCTTAGGATCCAGTTTTGTCCAATGGCATTTTTGTAAATTTCGAAGGAAACACAGCAAAAATGTAGTACTGATCTTCGAAGCACAATACCTTGGGCAATTTATCCAGTACATTTTTAGATCATGCAAGATTTATAAATTTCTTGATATTTATGACATTATATCCTATACTGATCTCCACCCTTAAACGAAACGGAGCAAATTATGCAATTCACACAGTAAATTAACTCTTACAGGTATTTGCAGGCTGTCTGAACCAACCATTTATACATGCATTCAAGCGCTGGGCGTCTCCAAGTCAGAGCTGAGTATGCCAGTGCGTCTCCACCAGTTTCTCACAGTGGAAATGATGTCATCCATTTCAATGCCAAACGATTCAAGTGTTCGAATTTTGAAAAGTCATCACCTTCCGATATGGTTGGATAATATAAAGTTTCAAAAATTATCAAGTTTACCCCGTTTCGTTTAAGGGGGGAGATCAGTAGTAGTAGACCTCGGTTTGACCTATAGTACAATTAGGGCGGGTCTCTGGGTTTGATCGACAAAAGGCATGGCATGGCCGTTTCTTTCCAAGAAAAGGTGGCCAAATCGAAATAAATCCAAATTTCTCGATTTTGTGCATGGGGATACCAACAACAACCAACCACCAAAGATATTGGTAATTCGATTTCAAAGTTAACTGGGGCTGGCAATCGAATCGACGAGGCAAAATCAACGCAGTACGCCAATGAAGTTATTGAATAAGAACCTTTCGACCAATCAAATTGCAGGTGGGTGTATTCGGTGCAATGCCGAGCTTGTCCATTTCACAAAACAGTTGAACGTTGTATCGGACAAGAGTCAAAATGAGTATATTTAGTTCAAGTAAAATGACGCTCGACGATTTCAGGTGGATTTGACGTCGTTCGTCGAATCTACCGAAAATACCTAATTTAGCTTGAAAGTACAATAGTAGTTCCCAAAATTACGCCACCATTTTCTTGAGACTCGGGTGTTTTATAGCATTAAAAAATAGACTGTTTGGTTCAACTTTTATGGAGGTTTGTGTATTAATAGTTGACATACTAAGTTACAGTAGTAGTATTATGAGTTTGGGACAAATTTCACAATTTTGCGCGATTCGTTAAACCAATCACAAATCTCACCCCGAAATTTCATTGGCTTTACCACTTCCGAAGTAAAAAGAAAAAAATAGCCAATCAGCGACAAGAATTTTTAGACTGACCAATGGGGGCGATTTGTGATCGGTTTGGTCCGCGTGATTCGATTGAACAGGGTCCAGAAATTCGTACCACATCAATAATATTGTGAAGTCTTGCACTTCAATCGGAAATATCGAATAATTTTTCCTAAATTCAGCTGGTATCCAATCTATTCGGTACATTTCCTTGTTTTCATGGAAGTGAGAGAATGTTGTTTTGCAGACTCGCCAACACGGTTTAGGGCATAAATATACTATGAGGCAGCCCATCCAAACCAGCCCTGATATATTCGTTTATAAAACATTATCGAATATTATGGATTCGGTACAGATTTCCAGACCCCGTCGAATCGAATCATCGAATCACGAATCATCCATCGAATCACGAATCATCGACGCTATTAGCTAATCCAATTTTGTTTGGATTTGATTGGCTCTTACAGAAAGACCAAGTATATTCAACCAATCAGAACTCGATTCAATATTGAGATTAGACAAACCGCTCGAATTTTGCAAGTTTCAAGCGAATTCACAATATAACCCGTTTCTTTATAACTTAAACATCGCCCAACATATGTTAGGCCATGCACACGGGCGCGGCGGTCGTGGCAGAGCATGTGGAGGTGGTGCTGTCGCGGCTGTGAAACGATCCAGCGCCGAGGTCGTCGGGCAGCGCGCGGGACCGACTGGTGGACGCCGTGCGTCGGCGGGCTTCTCGTTCGAGTTTCACGCAAAGTTCTGGGACAACGTAGTCTCGCAAAGATACATAATGCGACGATGTGGGCAGGGATCGGGAGGACGAGTCGGCGAACGAGCTGGGGCGGCTGGTCCGTCCCCCGGGTGCTTGCTTGATGAACGTCTTGAGCGCGTCCGCCACTGGCGCCGACGTGTCGTCGAGCGCGGCTTGCAAGATGCGATTGAACTGGGCAATGCGGCCGCGGACGAGGGATTCCTTGGACGTCATGATGGTCAACAGACCTCCGTGCGGCATGGGCGGAAGGTACACGACGTCGTCCTCTTCGATGTAGGGAAGGGAGGATGATGTAATCGTGTCTAATGTGGCGGCGACGTCCCCCGAGTCGTTGGGTGGTTGTTGCTGTGGTTGCAGCTGCCAATGACTGGTGGTTGACGACGGCGAGAACGAGAACGCGTGATCTTCGTCGATCGAGTGGGTGGGCGAGTTCGTCGAGTGATGGCCGCCCTTGAACAACGAGAACGGTTCCGGCCTCATGTGGCGAGAAAGCGACGCATGGAACGTCTTGAAGTCGTTGTACCGGCGGCGAATCGTGTAGGATTCCAGCGGATACGCTTGCGATGCGACGTGGAGGAGGTAGTACACCGTGCCATGGCTCACCACGACCTTGTCCATCACGTAGATACTGTCATACGTGAACCCAGCCGTGGACACGATGCCGACGTCGTGCACGATCCCCGAGTGAGAGTTGCGCGCTGGTCGAAGGAGGTGATGCGATGTTGAGGACGACGAGAGGGACGAGGTCGTGATCGTGAGGCCGTTGAACGAGTTGCGCCGGGTGACGATGATCTCAGTCATGCCATTTGGAGAGTACGATGTGTTGGTGGCCATAGTCTGTCGGTGTGGATCCGCCGGTGACCACTTGCTCCTTCTTCTTCGTCGGCACTGACCAAGTGGTCGTCGGGCACATCCGGTTCATGTCATCAGGAGAGGTGATTCCATCACATCCATGCATGTCGCGAAATGCAACGACGAATTCCCTTGAATAGAAGGATTCTGGCGTTGTCCTACGTTTTTGAACCCACAAATCGTGGATTACGTTGTTATAACTGGAAACAACCCTTTTGCAACATAAATCTGTCGTAATCTATCCATGTCTTCCGTCCGGGTGAACACCAGCATACTGAATTCAAGGTCAGACAAATACCAAGGTCACAGAATTTCACCACGAAAACTCTGGCCTTTTATAAGCCACAATGTTAGCTACGAGAACAAACGAGCCAATCAAATCACGTTGTGCAAACTCGCCGTATATACTATATTTTGTAAAGTATAGTCTCACCCAGCCTATGTTTACTGGTAGTTTCTCCCGAATTTATTACTGTACTCCTTGAAAAGTCAACTGAAAACTCGAGTTCAGCCAAACCAAGTGTCGCGCAAGGTATTGAGCTCAGTCTTGAGAGTGTCGATGAACTCGTGCAGGATCTTGCCGCCGAATTGAAAGCGCTCGACACTGCGGATCTTGTCGGCCACCGCCTCCTTCCACAGCGCCACTTGGGCTGGGTCGGCGTCCGGCGGCGGCTGCCACTTGAACACGTCGTCGCGATTGTACGGACCTCGTCCATGGCTTCGATCAGAGGGCTGTGCGGTCGTCGGCTCGTCGGTCGGGAGCTTCTCCTCCACCGGCGCCTTGTCATGAGGACTGTCTACAACTAGCGACGGCGGCGTCGACACGCTTTGTTGAGGGGACGACTTGGCTCGAGAAATGCCTATGAACGACGATTACATATGACGAACATAGTTAGCAGGTACTGTAGCTAGCTGGCTGCTGTTTTGGCAGACAAGGACCTTTGGGAATGGCCCACTTTTGGTGCAAGTACAAGTGCACTGCGTCGATGGCGTTGTCACTTAGGACGTTGTCGAACACGAGCACTTCGGCCATCCGACCTACATCCAAATGCCGAGATCATAGTTAAAACTCAATCAAAATATCAAAAACGTCAACATGTGTATACCGTGAAAGGCATGGGCGTCGCAGAACGACTTGACGTTGCCCAACGTTGTGGCCTCCGTGGCCGAGATGGCAATTCCCCCGCCATTATTACTTTGGACAATAATAGGGGACTCGGAACCAAATCCCATCCCTAATAACCAACGTATATATAGTATTTAGTTGCCACGAATACGTAATAGTTCATCGATTAATATTCATATAGATAGACCTATATGGGTTGATCTTTATTGATTTTTTTCTACTATAGGATCATCATATTCTAATAATATACCATTGACTTGAATGGACACTTGCTTGTCCATGCGATACGTAAGAACGGCAAACTCGCCTTGCCCGATCCCGTGGTTGTCCTGTGGGGGTCAAAAAAATATTTATATATATATGTACTGTACAGTATATACATATACTATATTACAGGTGATAACAAGTTAAACAATATAAACTTCATAATGACCACGACAAGCATACCAACCACCACATGACCATTCAATGACAACACTGGGGTTATATATTTTACACTGGAGTAGTATATATTGGGTATATATTGGTACATGTACAGTATCCCACCTCGGCGACGACGGCAGACGTACCGCCATACCCGGCTTTGCGGGCTTGGAAGCGAAGTTGGCCGTACGGAGCATGGCCAAAAAACTTCTGGAGCTTCGAGTCGGTTGGGTCGTCGCTTAGATGCGCGGGGGACAAGACAAAGAACAGCGTCATGCCATCACGTAGCAAGACCCCGTTCGAGTACACCATCGGACACGTCATATGCAAAGTCGGGAGGCCGTTGCGGACACCGGGCAGCCACACCGGAAACGTCTGAGTATTATTCATGACAATCAAAGGACACAGTATGGTTCTAACGCTTACTGTGGGGTTGGCCAAGTTGGCCGGGTAAAACGAAGACGAGGATGACGTTGCGGCGGCAGAATTCTTCCATCTACATCACACACACATCTGTTCCAAAGACATGGAAGGAACGCGATGGGCGTAGTACTGCTTGACGTAGCATTGCGAGCTTTCGGGGCCACAAGAGCCGACGAATTCGACGCCTTTGTCAGCTTGGAGCCATAGAGCGAGACCTTTTTGATAGTCTACACATAGACATGGGTAAATCAATGAAAAGGGAAATACTCGCGGGCTTTTACCGAGTGATGGAACTGGGGGATGGACTGCCGCAGACGTGGCGAGGGGTAGAGTCACTGCTGGGGGGCTAGTTGTAGTTGGAGGGGGGGTAGTGGTCGTTGTTGGAGGGGGGGTAGTACTACTTGTTGGAGGGAGGGTAGTGGTCGCTGTTGGAATAGGGGCAGTTGTAGTTGGAATCGGAGTAGTTGGAGCAACCGCAGCAGTAGTTCCAGTTGAAATGGGAACAGGGGGAGTCGTGGGATGGGCGATCGGGGGTTCGTTTTCGACAGAGGGTTGATTTGTCCCGTCAGTGGCACCTTCGTCTGCGGCTATGAGCTGCTGTTGCATGGCATCGAGCTTGAGTTGAATTTCGCCGAGGATGCGATGGAATACTATCAAAGTGGCAGACGCATCGTTCGCAAGCAAGTTGCTGTCCTTGCCTTCCGTTGATAGTTTATTCTGTCGGGTCATGTTAGGTCTACAATATGTACAATTCATAACTGCACTGTACCTCAATATGACCATGCTGGGCACCAAAATTCGCGGCGGCCGCTGCGATGTACGTGTGCAAGTCGGACCATTCACGATACGTCATCAAGTCGATAGCATCTTGTGGGAGTTGCCACAACGCGAGCAACTGACTAAGCGAAAGGTCTTGATCGACATCGTGGGGGATGTAAGGGGCGACAATCGTGGGTAGTAGTAGTACGTTGTCCATGTTGCCACCTTGAGCAAGTTCGTGTCCTCCTTCGTGGACGTCAGGAACGCCGTCCACCACATCCGTCGCTTCCGTTGGTGGAGTGGTCATCCTTGGTGAAGTTGTCAACAACGGTTTACTGACGTCGTTGCTAAGAAACGCCCCCGTGGAGACAGCAAGTAGAATTGCCACACCTACAATCACAGCCACCGCCATCATAGCCCTACCATCATTCAAATGAGCCAGAGCCACCGCAACAGGAGAGAATCGAATGATACCGTCGAACGCTTTGGTGTTTGGTCCATGGCAAAGGACGGTCTTTCTTGCGGTCTTCGCGACCACTCGTGAGCGGAGAGCGTTCGTTGGGGTGGTCGTCGTCGGGTAAGTCGCTGCCCTTGCGACGGACTGGTCGGGACGTGGCGCTGGCTACGTTATCTTCATCCAACGTGGGATTCACGTAGCTCTTGTGGCCCATCGTGGGTGCCTGCCTGACGAGGTGGTGGAGGCCTTTGAGAAACGGTCAAAACAGTTACCCTGCTTGACATGTAACCGACTGAAGTTCAGTTTGCCGTTGCCAGACATACTACCTAGTGCTAGGATATCATGGTCGACGAACGGGTTCGCTACGACATACGTATGTGGGGCTTTTGTCATTCGACTGACTACTCGAGTACGTGGCAGTCTGTGGACGATCTCTGACGAGTAAGAGAATGATCACCTACAAAGTGAGAAAGTTCCTACGCACGATTGTTCGAGTTCCCAGATCGATAAACTTGACATTTGTATGGTGGCTTTTTCTGAGGAACGTTACAGTTCACGTCACACTTCTGGCTTTTACATTATGGATTGTCAACCCATGGCTTTGCAATTGTTTCAAAACGCAAGTGCCCATTCTAGTGTCGGTGAGTGGAAGAAGACAGGAGGCGGCGCCACTCCAGCATGTCATCTACCAGCATCCCTGCAACGACGTCCAGTAGCTCTGAGTGGACGTGCATGGCCAAGGATGTAAATCAATCGTCGTTCACACCGATTCGCATTATCGTACAGAGCGGTCAGCTCGAGTGCTTGTCGTGGCCAGCTCCTCCTCCACCACCCGTCGGCTCAGCCACTGCCAACAACACCATCGCATCTCATGGGTGCGTCGTGCTGACGTCGCTGTCTGCGTGTCGTCTGTGGCTACAGACTCAACACAACAACATGACGACTGGTGGCTTGGCCCTCCTCCTTGCGCCGTCCCCCTCGACCAAGTCGGCGACAGATGACAACTCGACGACTTCCTCCCAGCGTGCCACCTGGATCCTCGTTGGCGCAGTCGGAACCTTGGCTGTCCTGTGTGTGGTCGTCCTTGTGTGGCGATGGCACGAACATGTCAGGAAACCACCATCCCACCAACCCCAGACCAAAGGAATGGCGGATCCGCACCACACGATCATCGAGCCCAATGTGATGCTAGCTCCGTGTATGTTCCAGTCTACCCGCCGCCGTCAACCACGACGTCCCGCCATCCTTCCATCGTCCATCACCCGACAAGTCGCCTGTTGGGGGATCCACCCAACCGCGGCACTTCAAACCATCCGGGTATTACACCGAGGACTCCACTGCGTCGTACATGCCGGAGTATTCAATCAACAGACCGTGGCAGTCAAGAGCTTGCACTCCACAAGCTCCAGAAGCATCCAGTCGTTCGTAGATGAAATCAAACTTGTCTGCAGGTATATATCCTCCATATATATATATTTTGTCCTTTTACCCCAAATTTGAACTTTTGTGCTTATTCTTTGCCAAATCGATCGATCGATCCTTTGTCCCGACTTTTGTACTGAGTATGTAATTTGGTGTTGAATTGGTCGAAGAGTGAATTTGATTGGCCACTTGATTAGTCTTCTAGTTTTTCCTTGGCCGATAGATTGTCTGGCTGCTCATTCGATTGAGAACCCCACTCCAATTTCGAATCGACTTGACAATATATATATATATATAGAATTTTCTTTGGCCTGCACAATATTTTCATCACGTGGTTGGCTTTGTATTAGCCTGGACTCGCCGTTCTTGTTGCAAGCAGTGGGCGTCCGCGTGCGGGATTTGCATTTAGTCGTAGAGTTTATGGACTTGGGAGACCTCCAGACGCATTTGTTACTGCACGTCAAGCGTGCGTCTTGGCCGTCGAAACTCAAGTGGGCGCGCGCCGCCGCGCGCGCCCTCGCGCACCTCCACGGCGTCCACGTCCTGCATCGACATGTGAAATCGCGCCACATTTTACTGCACTCGTCTGGTCGGGCGGTGCTGGCAGGCCTCGGGAATGCCGTGAGCACGCTCGCCGCTAGTACTACTACTAGCCCCCCGTCTAGTACCCCACACGGAGCGTCGTTTCGGTGGATGGCGCCGGAAGTGGTTGCTAGTCGCGCGCCGTACACAGCGGCCGCCGACGTGTTTAGCCTGGGGGTCGTGCTGTGGGAGCTGGACAGCCTCTTGACCCCATACGCCCGGGAACAAGCGCAATTTGGCTGGGGCGATGTCCATCTTATGCGGCAGATCCAGGCACGGCGCGTGATGCTGGCGTTCTCGACCGAGTGCCCCGGGGGGGTGGTCAGGGTCGCCCTGCAGTGCCTCAGCGCAGACCCGACTCGACGCCCCACCGCCGCCCAAGTGGTCGACATGTTGAGCCAGCAGGACATTGCAACGGCGTTCGACACGGTTCCCACGCTGTATCATTGAATTACTGACTTGTTACCAAAGTTGGTAGGATAGAAAGAGTACTACGGGACTACTACTACTACTACTACTATGTACTAGTACTGTAGTAGTAGTCCTGGAGTAGTTGACGCGTGACAACCGCGTATTTGCTGCGGGTCGAACGAATGAACAAGACTCTCGCTTGCAGGACTTGGTATCATTGGAACCAAAGTAGAAGCCCATATTAATATTATTGTACTATTGTGCTTTTCACATATTTTGCCCGTTGTTTTAGCTCCTAAAACCATCCAAAGTTTAACCTAAACTGAAGTTGCACTCGACGTAAAAGTAAGCTTCCCCACCGTTCTGTCATTGGCTGATCTAAAACTTGCGTTGTTTTACTAAAACTACTTCGTTTTATTAACTCCCGTGGCCAAGCAGTCATGCAGAGTAATGACCTACTGGGGTAAGCTCGCAGTGCACCAGCTCACACGAGCTTTGCAGCCAGCTTGTTAGCAACTCGTTGGCACGAAAAGTCGAGCAAGAAGT